GAAGCCTGGCCAGGGCGGAGTCACGCTCAGAAACCCGCAGCAGGTACGTGGTCCATCATACTGACCAATCGAACGACGGTGTCGTCTCCTATCATTTTTTCAAGCCTATAAAGCACGTGCTTAAGGTGGGGATTGTAGTCTGTTTAGCCGCACGAGCGTAAGACCTTTCTTACCTGCGTCACGGGTCAGTGACCTCAAGTCATAGTTAGTGGTGATGGTTTCAAGTGGATTTTAGTCGCAACTCAGGACACCGCATTATTCCCGACCCTCAAACCGGCTCAGCGTTGCGAATGCTATTCAAGACCTCGTAATGCAGTAGGCGAGTGCGCGGAAGACGTTACTGTGAAAGGAGTTACTCAGAGCTGCCAAACCAGAGGACCTCATTAATGTCACTTGCCCGGAAGATCTGCCAGGAAGAAGTTACTCATCCATACTTGATAACTTCCTCTGCGATGACGTCAGCATAAGCACTCGTCAGAATACCGCAAATTGACAGCGACCATCGGATAAGTGTGCAAGGCAACCCCTTTTCCAAAGAACGTCAATAAGTCTTGACAATCTCTTTATTATCTTTATTACCGATTACCTCTGACTCGTCTTGTCACCTCATTATTCAGTTCAATCAGATCTACCAAAGTGGTGATGAGACCACGTCAAATTTCTATTGCTTGCCGGAACATTTCATTGGATCACTTGAACTAATCTGCTAATCGGCAAAGATCCTAGCCAGCCGCAACGCGTCTGACACTTCAAGCCTACTTCCTCTAGGCTCGGCCTACTTGACTCATGATATAAACTTCCCACCGTCGTAATGAATGACCAATCGGCCCAGTCCGCCCGAAAGGACGCCAATCGACGATCATCGCTGGCCATCTCCCGTCGGTGAGCCGATATACGTGCCCAGCCCACTGCAGCCTCCTCCTTCCGCTTTCCATGGTAACATCCTTAACTCCAGTCCGCTGTCTGCAACGGTGTTGGGAAAATGGCCACGATGTGAAATGCCAACGTTATTCTTTCCATGGCTCTCCGCATGACAACGAGCTGGAACTCTTCGAACTCTGTGAGTGACCACGCCCCACAGCCAAGCGACATTGCCTGCAGGATGGGAGATATGAAGAGGTGGATATAGGTTTATTTTCTGATGTTGTCCAAGAAAACTTCTTTGACGGATCGGCACGTTAAAATGGTCATTTTTTCCTTTGAATCTCTTCAGAATGATTACGCCGCATGTTGCTACGATGGCATCAAACACTGCAGGTGGTACAACAATGTAATTCCGAGGCGTTTCACTACGTAAACCGCAGCATCATCAGGACCGGACAAAATACAAATGAACGCTTGAAGACCGACGTCCAACAAGCGAACACTGCCTTACTACTAAAACGTTGTTAAACCGAAAGGCCAAAATGTTAATCAACAACCAGTGTAAATTTCTCATTAAAACGATCTTATCAATTCTGCGATTGTCCCCTAGCTTTCGCTAAGAACCACAGAAGATGTGTATTCATTGTATCCGGATTTTATTTGCCACGATATGCCAGCACTTCTTTATCAGTAGACCTAATTTACATCGGTCTTTGTCTATAGCGAAAACATTGGCCTGACTGAAAGAATGCCCTTCATTAATCGGCTGTTGGGCCAAACCGGAATTGTGAGCCTGTCAATCAGGTTGACACATCTTCTGTGGTTATTAGCGAAAGCTGGGGGACAATTGCAAAATTGATAAGATCGTTTTAATTAGAAATTTACACTGGTTGTTGGTTAACACTGGACGTTCAGTTTAACAACAGTTTGGCTGTAGGGTAGTGTTCGCTTGTTGGACATCTGCCTTCAAGCATTCATTTGTGCTTTGCCTAATCCTGGTGATGCTACGGTCTGTGTAGCGAAACACCACGGCAATAAAGTGTTGTACCATCTGCAGTGTTTGGTGTCCTGAACCATGAATCATGTTCAAACGCTTATCTCTATATCTACCAGAATCGAAAGCCTGAAGAAGCATTTTAAAATGTTCAGGCAAAGATCTTATTGTTATAGAGAGCCAAATGTTGATCCTGCAGAGGTCCTTCTGTGAATTGATCAAAAGTAAAATTAAACGAATTCGAACACGGTTGATTGAGAACAATTTGTGTCATTTCGACGAGAGTACACGCAATAATCGCAAAGTCATCATGTCATATAGATACGAGGTTTCTTGGTAATTTGTTGTATTTGAAAACCTACAATGCATGGATATCGAAACTCATCACTTATGAACAACAAACTAGTTCGCAGAATCAATGAAAATACTGTAACTGTATTTGGGTTTGCCTAAACGAGTTGCTTTACGTTACTGTCTCGGTTTTTTGTTCTACACGGCACACAGATCCGGCTGTGCGTTCTTGCAGCAGATGTTCAGTTACCAATGAGGTCGCAGCCCGTGTAAATAGCCTCCTATGCCTTCAGGAGCAAAAGACTGTGTGATTATGCTCTGAAAACCCGAGAAACGATGCGCACGGTGTTTATTTTCCCCTCTACACCATTGCATAACACCTCTCACTGTTAGATTGCAAAAAGTATAGTTCATGCGAGTTTATCTCTGTAAAACGTAATCATATTATATTGGCAGCACAGTTCAGATGAGTGGTGGATATAAGCGTTATTCCGGCTCGTCTAAAGTCAAGGAAGAACCTGCAAGAAGGATTTTTATTGCCTGCTAGAAAGAAATTTTCTTCCGGTTAGCAGTTCGGTCCGTAGAGCATGTTAGTAACGTGAAACACGAGAAGTGGTGTCAGACACAGGAGAAAGAAACTCTGTTGCCATTGGGATATTTGTCTCCATTACGCCTCCACGACGAGTACCGTCTGTGACACCAGACTCAGGCTCAGGAAAGCGAATAAATTCAGATCGACTTAATAGCGGTTGACGTTCACTGGGAACCGGATAGGCAATGGACAAAGTTTACTTTGGAAGTTTTCAATGGCACCAAAACGATTAAGTTAGAAATCGTTTGGCTTTGTAGAGAAGCGAAGATGAATATTACGAATCGTGCCAGGTAACATGCTTAGAGGCATGGCATTCAATTGCAACTGGTTTCACAGGAACAAGAGCAAGGTGAGTGTGTCTTGCAACTGTAGCCTGGCAGCAGCTGCGGTTGGCACACATGCGTTTCCGGTCATTGTTTCTTCGACAACGGCGCTCCGGTTTGCCATGTGCCTGTAGTTGCATGACAAACGGCGTGATGAGACGCAATCTGTCACGCTAGTAATGTCCAGGCGACAAAGCCCGAATCGTTAACAGCTTCGCCCTAATTTTTTCATCTGCGAAGAGTCATATAATGGTGTTGAGTGAATCGAAAGTTGGTCGTTTTGCCACCATCGATCTGCTTGTGACAAAAAACAAAAAAACTTATCTAAGGTTACCTAAACGATTCATAAGTAGGCCGGTGATGGACGTAAATGACGCTCATGAAAAACGTTTCCGCAGCTTCCATCTGAATGGCAAGAGCCACAGGCTGGTGAACAGCCAAGGTCACTCTGGATGAGTGTTTAACGTTTAACAGTCGTTTACCAACATGTGGCACTTGTAAACTCTGACGTCAGCAATCAGCGTTAGGACTGTCACACAGAAGAACTGTGCTGTAAGTCCAGAGCTCGTCCTTTGAGCCACGGAAAAAGGAATCAACAGGATATGATAGAGAATATAAGGTCAAGGAAATGGCACGGTGCGAAACCCATTAGCCCACCAGTGTCTGAGAACATCTGTCGCCGGGGCCCCACCTGCTAACGTTATTACCTTTTTCTTCTTAGTACGTTCGTATTCATATCAAACACACAGCGAGCTGAAGCTTACATTTCACAACGCAAAGTGATCATCAGTTTCGTCCTCCGTCTTGAACTCGTTATGGAT